AAAAGTTTCTTGCCAAGTAGAAGCAGCTCAGCTAAACAACCTGTACAGCAGATTCTGGTCCCAAAGTAATCCAAAGATTCACAAATCCAACTCAGAGCAAAAGATTTCTGCTGAAAGGAAGAGTCTAAATCAGGTTTCTGGCAAACTGGGTGTGATAACTCAGTGATTCACAGCACAGGGAGGTCATTTGTGAGTTTAAAGTTTAAGGACAACTTCTGCTTTCAAGACAGTCGTGAGATATAGAGTTTCAAATTACTGTTTTGTGTGGCGTCAGAAAATAATTCTATTCAAGTAAACTCAAACAAAAGTTTGGGTGGACTGGTGCAATCAATGGGCAAGACTTCAGGTGCACCTTTGTTAGTGACTGACGTGTGACAACACTTAAGTTTTGATCAAAGAAAATAAAGAAGGATTTTCAGCATTAACTCAATAACATGTGGAGGAGGTAAGTTAGCTTCTGATGAAACATTTGTCTATTAGAAGTGAAAATGATTTTTTTTCTCTTCACCGTCACGACCCTGAGCTTCTTCTTTAGCAGTAAAATTTTATTGAAAATAGCTCAGAAAAGGAAGTCATAGGTAACTAAGATCCAACAATACTGTCTGGAAAACATTGAATACAGACGGCTGCTGCTGCTGATGAGTGGATTGTGTCTGAGGCAGCAGATATTTTGCTTTTAATTAGAATAGACGAGGACCTGATTATTTGTGAGCCAGGATTAGGCATAAAGACAACTCCTGCCGAACTGGGATTCATCCCAGACCACTACGGCACCCCGGAGTGTGAGGTATAAAGTGCGTATTTATTAACTGAGCTGAACGATGTTTAGCTAGGTAGTGAACCAAACCACTGCAAACTCATAATGAAAAGCACTTTAAAGACATTCATGCACAGTGAGCACTCTCTTGTGGACACAGAAAATACTCTCCATTTTAATAAATAGGCCATTTAATCTGTTCGACAGGAGCTGACTTCAGACTTTGGCTGCCACTCAAATGATTATGCTATGGATTTAATTACTAAACTCAATCATAATGCGAAGCAAAGTACACGGATTAATATATTCAGCATCAGTGACAGCTTTATGTGTGTTTGATTAAATATTAGAAGGTTTGTTTTTCTAATTTTGCATACCACACCTTTAAATTCTCAGCAAAGTGACCCAGAACACTATTAACTACTGTAATAAACTC